ACTGACCCAGACCAAGCCCTGCTGACCCAGACCCAGACCCAGACCAGACCCTGCTGTCCCAGACCCAGACTAGACCCTGCTGACCCAGACCCAGACCAGACCCTGCTGACCCAGACCCAGACCAGGCCCTTGCTGACCTAGACCTAGACCAGGCCCTACTGACTAGGACTGGGTGAGGTGCTCTACTGGTGAAGGGACCAGGGCCATGGCTGCCTCCATCTGTGCTGGGCCAACTGAGGTCTCAGAGAGAAGTGGGAGGCTGTTCTCTAGCTGCCCTTAACCCCAGGGCGCTGGCGCCACAGAGACATGTGGGTGGTAGGAAGAAAGGCATTCTGAAGCACCAAGAGGGAGTGGCAAGCAGGAATGGAGAGGCCCCCCCACCCCACACCCACCCCAGGCTGCAACTTCAGGACAGGGAATTTCAACACTCAGAACTTGGAGGTTTCTGTCCTTGCAGGAACTTCTGAGATACAACTGAAACAAAACACAAGGCAGGGAGAAAGGCCGGTGGCCCCAGGCTGGCCTGACAAGGAAGGTCTGCACAGGTCAGCAGACTTCACTCCCCAGCCCTAGACGGGCAGGATGAGTCAAGCAAGTGTGGTTAAGGGGGCTGGGGGGCAGGGTCCTAGTCCGGGGCGGTGAGGGCTGTCGCTGGCACAGCCACTCTTGAGACCTGTGCGCAGCAGGGACACGCACTCCCCGACACCTAAGCGGGTGCCGTACACAGCTGCAGCCCACAAGCTTGAGGAAGCAGAGGGTGGCACAGGTGGAGACAAGATCACGCCCCTCAACAGAAAGGGGCACAGGCTGGTGCTGCAGCAGGGAGTCCTGCAGGGTAGCATGAAAGCACCGAGGCGCCAACACGTCAACAGGTGCGTCTCAGAAATCTAACACCAGCCAAGCAGCACCACACAGGCCAAGAAATGGCCTCCACACAGGCCCCAGCGAGGGGACAGGCGGAACTCCACACAGGGGACATGGAAGCACACAGCCAGCAGGGAGACTGACCTGGCTGAGGAGGTGCAAGAGTGGCACTGGCTGAGGAGGCCTATATTTTTGACAGGAACCTTGAACCTGCTCACGCAGAGGCACCATCACCCCACAGCCTACAAGCCCCTTCCTCTGGCCCGCTATCTGGGCCAGAAGCCCAGTGCCCCTGGCTCTGGGCCTCGGCCAGCACTGCTCCAACTGTAGACCCTCAGCCCCCATGGCCCAGGTAAAGAATGAGCGCCGAGAAGCCTCCAAAGAGGCTCTATGTGAGGCTCGGGGGGTGGTGGTGGGGAGGAGGCGAGAGGTACAGTGGAAGTCAAAGCCACAGGGTGAGGGCAGGTGCTGGCGGGCAGCACAGGGAGGGGAGGAGGCTGGCCCAAAGATGCTCCAGGGAAGAGGGGCTGAAAAGGGTCTGGAGTCGGGCCTGCGGATCCTACCACCACCCCAATCTCTGGCAATGCAGTTTGGATGTGACAAGCACCGCCTCTCGGCTCTTCTCGCAGGCTCTGGCTGCACAGAGCCCCGTGAGCCCCAGCAGCTGGCTCAGAAACATCTGTTGGAGGCACAAAGCGTTCTGGCTCAAACCCAGAGAGGCCCCTGGAAGTGGGCTGCCCAGGAAGCCAGAGGGCAGCTCACTCTGAAACCAGAGAGGCCCACCCACAGCTGGCAGCCCCGAGCTGCCAGCACCCAGCCACCCCGGGCACCTTGTCCTCTCCAGCCTCATCACCCCCAGAGGGAACTCCCCAGCAAGGCCACCGAGGCAGAAGGAAAATCCACCAAGGTGGCAGGCATGCAAGGCTGCCCAGAGTCTCACCTGCCTGGAGAGCCGGACAGCTCACTTTCCCACCCAAGGCCACTGGGAGAGCAGTGCATGTTCCCAAGAATGGCCGTGCACAGGTCACCAAGTGGACAAAGCGTCAGGGCTGCTCATCCGAAGCGTGTTGGGTTCACACCCTCCAGCCCTTCGACGGGCATCCTCCCACCCAGCACACTCTGGAGGCCAGACTGGGAGTGACGGTGTGGCCCAGGCAAAGAGGACCTGTGGTGTGGTCCTGCGCAGGGGAGTGGCCGAAGCCAAAACCTCAGCGGACAGGTGTGGACGCGGAGGTGCCAGGTGCGCTCCGAGAAGGGCTTGCGCTCCAGTCACCTAGTCCAGGCCGGACGCCCGAGTCCCACCAGGAGTGGGGGCCCGGGGTAGGAGAGACCTGAATGTTGGGGGGAGGGGGCACCGAGTGGGGGGCTGGGCTGCGACGCTGCTCGTGAGCGAAGGATCTAGAGTCGCGGTGGCCGGAGACCAGGCCCCACGCCTGAAGGGCCGCGGTCCGGCCAGGCCGGTCAGGTGCGGGGGAACAAAGCGTGGCGCGCCCTGCGGACGGGGTCCCGCGCACCGTTTACAGGGTTCCGCGTCCCGCGGGCAACCGCACTTGAGATCTGTGGGTATACCTGGGCACGCAGCTGGGGCTGGAGCCGTCTACCTCCCCCGTGGCGAACAGGTTCATGGGCACCGGAGTGTTGAGCGCACCGGGCGCGGGCCCGGGCAGGCCGGGGCGGCCCCGCTCGGCCATGGCGCGGCCGCTCCGCTGGGCGGC